GGGCTGCCTGCCCACTGGCCACGCCAGCGCTACTCACAGCAGCAGCAAATGAGGGTGCATTTCCTCCCGCTCTCACCACCTCCTAGGGACACCAGGTGCTTGAGTTTGGCCAAGGGGCCAAGGCAAACCTCTGGCAGCAGCTACTGCTGGGGCTGACAGCGGGTACAGAGGTGACAGGGTGGGCCTAGCAGCCAGATGGTCACCTCTGACACTGAGTGCAGGCATGCCCTGCATGGCCGGCCATTTGCACCATGCTGCAGTTCTCCCAGGCCGCACCACATCACGTGCACCTGACTCTCAGCTCCTTCTAGGGGCTATTTCCCTGCCTCTGGAATCTGAGCTGATCGCTTGACTTCTCTGGGCAACAGAGTGCTGGGCCAGTTTCAGCCAGCCCTCAAGAGGCCTTGCACGCTTTCGTGCCCCGAGCTGCATGCGCAGGTCCGTGCTAGCCTGCAAGAGGGTAAAAGTCCGCAGGCACAGCTGCTTCCTCACCCCAGGTGACAGCCAGGCCCAGATGGGCCAGCGAGGCCATCCTAGGTCAGCCCGCTCACCCCTGCTAACTGCAAGGCACAGCGAGCCCAGCCAGAGCAGAGCAGGCAGGCCTGGCCCAGGGTTACAAAACCACCAGCTCACCCACAGCCATGTAAGCAAAAAAGAAAAAAGGGCTATATTTAAAGATCTTGTGGTCTTAAATGTGGGGTGATCTGTCATGCAGCCACAGCTTGCTGAAACCCTTGTGAAACAGGAAAACCAGATGGATTCTTGGGCTGGCACTATAGTGACCCGGCATTTGCAGGGCCGAGGCCCTGTGTGCCCCCGCATCAGCCCCAGCACGCACACCACCGACCTTGGGGGCCTTCCCGGAAGTAGAACTGGTACTTCTTGATGACACGCAGCATGTGCTGGTAGGAATTCCAGGTGTTGTGGGCCACCAGCAGGTCGCTCTGGCCCGGCAGCAGCTTGATGAGGGCGGAGCAGGAGCCCGAGCCCAGGACGTGCTTGGTCCTGGTCTTATTCAGGGCCGGCTCCAGGTCTTCCAGGTCCCCAGAGATCTGCAACAGGCTGAGGGGGCCAGGGCAGGGTTACCACTGCGGCCACAGGTGCCATGTCAAACCCACTCCCCCGAGGAGGGAGCGCAGGCCCTGGGAGCTCGCTGGGCAGTCAGTCTAGGCCACGCGGCCAGGAAGGGGCAGAGCCAGGGCTGGGCCCAGTCATGACTGCCTGTGAGGCGCGTGGCCCTTCACCTACCCTGTCCACACTGGCGTGGCACTTACAGAAACCCCAAGGGTTTGATGGTGAAATTCCCAGTTGGAAAGGCCACACTGCCTTCATAGCTGTCCTCTAGGCCCTTCAGCTGCAGCAGGGTCAGCCGCACCTAGGGAGGGGGCAAAGGGCAGGGGCAGGGGAGGGTGAGGCCTCTCTCCGGGCTCACACCTGCTCCTGCAAGGGAAGGAGCTCCAGGCTGCGGTCCAGACAGAGCAGGAGAGGCCCCTGTCCACCCTCCAGACTCCAGCTAGCCCTGACCACCCCCTTATTCAGCCCCCATCCTTCCATGCCAAGCCCCCCCTTGCCTTTAGTTGAATGTCCCCACCTATGCTGACCTCTCATGACCCTCACTTAAGAGCCCAGCTCAAAACCACCACCTCCAGGAAGCCTCCCATCCTTCCCTGACCCACTGTTGACAGCTTCCTATTCAGGACACCTGTCTCCTGCGGTTGACTTCTCCCATTTTCACTGTTGTTGCTCTGTAACCAGGAGCATCATTTCCATGTCCCCTCTAGGGCTGTGGCCCAAGCCTGCCACACACTGCAGGAAGGATGGATGGATGGATGGATGGATGGATGGACGGATGGACGGACAGGAAGGGCAGTGTGAGAAGCAATTATGTAGATGGAACAGAGAAGGGAGGGAAGAACAAGTGGGATGGACAGGAAGACAGATTCATTCCCTCACTCATTCACCCATTACTCATTCACAAACACTGGACACTTTCTTACAAAGCACTGCTCCGTACCGCCCAGCGCTAGGCACGGAGGATAAGGCAGTAAATGAAGCAGGTGTGGTTTTGCCTTAGCCTCATGGAGCCTCATGGGCCGGCGTCCAGATGAAGACAGACCGAAGGGGCAAAGATATCCAGTACACTGGGGTGGTTGGGTCAGCGGGCACAGGGGATAGGAACAGGGTTCCAGGCCAGGGGGCCCTGGGGTGGAGGTGACACGTTTGTGTGCAGAGGCCAGGGAAGCTGGAGCACAGAGCAAGAAGCCAGCGAGAGATGAGCTGGGGAGGGGCGTGTACAGGGCCTTGAGAACAGGAACACCGTCCCAAGAGAACTAGGTGGCCCAAGTCTCTAGGATAAGTCAACAGATGAACAGGCTGGGAGGCGCCGGGACAGCAGGAGGCAGGCAGGAAAATGCGGCAGGCGAAGGTGGCCAGAGAGACAGATGCTTGGACTGGGGTGGGAGGAAGAACAGAGGGTCGGCAGCCAGACCGGCGAGCATGGACAGGTGACCAAACGGGGAGGGCGGAGAAGCGCAGCTGAGTGACCGAGGGGTAAATGAGGCAGGGAGACAGAGGTCTGCGGTGGCCAGAGGGACAGGCTGTCAACTAGACAGGCGGACGGAGGGGCAGCGATGGCCGAATGGATGGTGGGTGCGTGAAGGACCGGTAAGAGGGCTGAGCCGGTGGGTGAGCGGGCGGGTGGGAAGAAGAACCTGCTCCAGTGAGGTCGTGAGCACGTGGTGAGTAGACAGAGAAAATCTGAGGGAAGCGGTGTGAGCTTGAGCCAGGCTAGGTGAAGGTGCTGTCAGCAGCAGAAGTGACAGCACTTTCAGAGACGGTCTATGGCATGCGCTTTGCAGTTAAACTCTTGAGCTCTTTCAGGAAACCCAGAAATCAGTAACTTCACGGAGGACCTAGAGAACAGCCCAAAGGCAGGGCACCTGCCCGAACTCTCTATCTGCAGCTCACCTGAAGAAAGGAAAACAGGCACTCACTACTCACTCACTGCGCCCAACCCCCCAGGGCTGTTCTAACCCCCCCCAACCCCTTTCACAAGTGCTGTTTTCACCATATCTGATGGAAGCTCTCAGGCCACATTCCTGTGTGCAAGGACACCAGCAGGCCGTCAGCAGCTCCGCCACAGTGGGAAGGCAGAGGGCTGACCGACAGGCTAGGAGGGGTCCGGAGGCCCATCAAGCAACGGGATGGAAGGACGGTGGAAACTGGACAGGTGAGCGGCAGGTGAGGAGGGTGGAGGTTGTGACGGACAGACGCTGGACTCGCCGGGCCAGCTGAGAGGGGACGGGACGGCTGGGAGGGCCCAAGCAGCCTGCCCCCCACACTGAGCGTGGTGGCCGCACCCACCTGGTGCCAGTAAGCGGAGTTCTTGTTCGCCTCCATCTCTGCCTGCATCCACTCCAGGTTGGTCTCCAGGAAGCTCTTGAGCTTCTCGCAGTAACCGACTTCGTACTCAAAGGGGCCGCAGTAATTCACCACCGTGTTCATCCAGTGCATGTAGATGAGCTGCAGGGCCAGCAAGGTGGGCAAAGGTTGGCGTGGGGCGGGCCAGGCTTCCCGCCTGGGGTCTCCCAGCCCACCCCAGGCTCAGGGTCCTCACCCACTTCCAGGTCTCCAAAGAACCGAGGACCCTGGCGAGGCCACCTCTGCACCTTACTCGCACTGGCCCCCTCCCCAGTGACCCCCCCTTCTCTCCTGGCCAGCTCTGACTCCCATTGGGCTTCACGGCGTGGGGGATGGCTTTGGCATTCCAAATCTGTCCCAGAGTACCCCTCTTCTGCACTGGGACCCCATCTATATGAGTAGTCAGTAACGCAGTCAGTCAACTAACACTTACTTGAGCATCTACTATGTCCCAGTGTCCTTGCTGTGCTAGTTCAACCGGCCCTCGAGAGGCCCCTGCACCACCCTGCCCTGCTGCCCATGAACAAGCCTGCTGAGCAACCACGAGCCTGAGCCCACTCGTCCCTGTGACCCCAGCTAAGGAAGAGCTGGCCCCAAACACCTGAACGAGGCCCTCCAAGGCCAGCCTGGCCCGGCTGACCAGCCAGCTGACTGCAGAAGCACCAGTGGGCCCAGCCAAGTATGCCCAGGCCTGACCCAGAACCCCAAAGCCACCCGCTGACATCCTGGCAGGAGAGGAGCTGCTGGTCTCGGGCACCAGCCATGGCCGCCACAGCCAGCACCAAAGGCCACCCAGGGGGGACTCCATTTATAGGAAGCGTCAGAAATAAGCAAACCCACAGAGACAGAAAGTAGATTAATGGTTGCCCGGGGCTCAGGAAAGGGGGGTGTGGAGACAAAGGAGGTGACTGCTAACAGGTTTCTGTCTGGGGTGATAAGGATGTTCTAGAATTAGATAGGGAGGATGGTTGCAGGTCTTTGAGTATCCTAAACAAACCACGAGCTGCACATTTTAGAATGGCGAATTTTACGGCAGATGAGTGTATGGAAAGGCTGAGTGAGTGAATGAAAGAAAGCACCACACTGAGGGGGGTGGGTGCCCCTGGCGGCAGGGGTCAGTACATCAGAAACTCCGCAGGCTGAGGTTTGGGTGCTCGTTGCATCGCTGTGCTTCCTCACTAGGAATACATCAGACATCTCTAAATGCATCAAATAGTACCTAGTGTGATTTTTTTTTTTTCCATAGAAGAATTGGGATGTAGGCCAGTGTGTGTGAGAGAGAGAGAGAGAGAGAGGATTCACCAGAAACACAGTAGGGAGCAGAGCCGGCAGATGGACTGAAATCCACTGCTGAGGGGCACAGCGGGGGTCAGGAGCCGTCTGCCGCGCTGTGAGCCATCTTCCTGCACAGCTGGGGATCGAACTCAGGCCGCAGTGTGACAGCCCTGAGACTCAATCCCTGGGCCACCAGGGAGGCCCCATAGTGTAAATTTTTAAAGAATGCATGAGAGGCTCTGCTCCCCAACCAGATGGGCTGGGAGCAGGAAGCCCACTGTCTAAGGACACCCCCAAGCTCGCTGGGGAGCCCTCCATGGGGCGGGAGCCCAGGGAGCCCGTTTCCCCAGATGGTCTCACCTCCTCAGTCACGGCAGCCTCCACCACGCCTGCGGCGTAGGCCTGCAGGCTGTCATTGTAGTGGCCGTTGGTGTGCAGTTCCAGAAAGGCCCACCTAGAGCGGAGGACAGAGTGCTCCGTCAGCACAGGGACGAGGCAGGGGGCGGGCCGGCTGTCGGCCTGCGCGTGGCCGTCCAGGCGCAGCTGCAAGCGCAACTGAGCAATGAGCTGCGCGTGCTCACTGACGCAGGCCGCTGTCTCTGCACCTCCACCGGGCCCGCCAGCCCAGAGGCCCAGAGGGCACACGGCCTTCTACTGCTAATAGGCACTGACAGACGTCCGACGCAGAGCTGCTCTGCCCTACGCCCCACCCCCAGTAACAGCAGCTGAAGTGCGGGAGGGTATCGCCTGGGCGAGGCACTGTTCCAGCCACTTCCCACCCCCTCACTAGCTCACGTCACCCTCATGCCAACCTGACAATCCTACCAGGCAGGCCCCAGCTTCTCCTACACACAAGAAAGCAGGAAATGGAAGCACAGAGCCAACAGCCCAAATGTCCCTCCTCGCCCTTGATGTGGGCCAGTTCATGTGACTCGCTTTGGCATGTGGGTGGAAGTGACTGTCAGTCACTTCTAAGATGAGCCCCGCTACTGTCACGAGAACTTGGGCCCCAGGAGCAGACCTGCAGCCGAAGCAGTGGTCCGCCAGCCACCCCCACGCTGAGAGCCACAGCCACGAGGCTGGTGGGCTGGCGTTTGAGGCCGCTGGGAGTGGGGCTGGTTTGTTACACAGTGGTGCCCCGGGTACTAGCTGATACCTTGCCAAGGTCACAGAGCCAGGAGAGGGCAGCACCAGGGCTCAATTCCTGGCAGCTCGATGCCCACTCTGCCTCTAAAGTGGCACCTCGCAACCGGCACGTGCATCCGGGTCACTGGAGCAGCTTGCTAGGAGGCAGGAATCAGGGATACCCCAGACTAGGGGTTTCTAACCGCCAGCCTTGCACTGCCCTGGCACGCGCCGACTTTCCACAAAGCACAAAGCCCTGCCAGCCCACCGCCTTGCTTAAAATGACTCCTGCTGACCTTCCTCTCCACTCAAGTGGTGGTTGAGAGAAGCAACCATGATGTGTTCACTGTCTTGCTTGAATGAAGCTGTAGTTCCTAATTTTCTTTGACCTCTTAAGAGTTCTTTGCTCTGTGGCCTTTACTCATCTTCTTCTCCCCGGTTTTCTTTTCATCTTTTCTTATAGGTTGGTGAAACTCTCTGTCCACACATTTGCCTTTGCTTGTTGCTAATATCGAAAACATCACTGTATTCTGATTGATTTTTGCTTTGGGCTTTGTGATATCGAAGACTTGGTATTTGTACAAGCTCTCAATCTTTCCCTTTGTGGGGCTGGATTTAAAAGGATATAAAAATATTATCCAGGCAACTTCTGCAGCCCAGAGGAAAACACTTGTTAAGGGAATTTCTATGAAGAAGACGAGGGTAACAACAGGAAGACCATAATGAGACCCTGAGGAGGCTTGAGGTCACGGGACAGCCAGGCCCAGCCCCAAAGGCTCTCGGGAAGCTGGTGAAAAAGTGACCCAGTAGCTTGGGACAGGAATAGCTCAGCTCTGCCCAGGAAGACACTGCGGGGAGGAAAAGACTCAAAACACCCACACCGACACTCTGGCAAGCGAGCCTCTTCGCATGCCTCTGGTGCCAGACGCTGAGGGTACACGAGGATAATGACATTCGCAGAGTTAGTGGTAGTTGGGGGCATGTGAACTGATGATATGTCAGTAACTGTCATGCCTACGGGAGGCTCCAAATGCCTACGGGAGGCTCCAAGAAGGTATACTCCTGTTGCCTCTGAGCAAAATCTAGGAAGGCTTCACAGAGGCGGTGACAGCTACTCTGATCTTCAAGTTTAAGTAGGAGCTGTCCGGAGTGGGGAGAACAGGGAACGGAGAAGAGGGAAGCCTGAGTTCTGTGTGTTCTGAAGCAAAGACCGTGGGCCATGAAGATGAAGCTGTGGGGCTGTGAGAGGCGCCCTGGTGGGTAACAATAGCCCCCAGGCACTGTGCTAGGCATCGGGCTGTCCTTTGTTTACCTTCCTCTCTAATTCCTACCAAAGACCCGAAGAATTTTATCCTTCCCCACTTTACAGATGTGGGCAGAGAGGCTTGCAGCGGTCAGGTCAGTAACCGAGCTGCCCAAGGGAGAGCTGAAACTATGTGCTCCAGGCTTCTAATTCAACTGGGTTTTGTGGGTTTGGGGTGGCGGGAAGGGTAGGTCTTGTAAAGGAAGATGAGAGCCAAGAATTTAAGGCTGGTGACTCAGTTGTGGAGTCAGATGGGGACACAAAGAGCCTGCAGCAAGATGTGAAGTACCCAGGAGGAGAGGACAAAGGGGCCCTGCACTTACACCCACTCAGGCTTTTCTTGGCCCCCATTGCTCTCTGCCCAGCGCTGCCTCAGGGCAAATCACCTACCTCTCTGGGCCAAAGGCTCGTCTTCCATGAGCCATACACAGCGCCCTCCTCAGAGGGCTACATGCGCAGAGAGAACACACATGTTCCCAGCGAACTAAGAATGTGCCTGTTGTGAGTCTGAGGCGGGACTCTGAGAGTTGGGGACAGGAGGAAGTTTACAAGGCCCAGGATGCACGTTCCCTCAGTATGACAACGCAGGGCTCCAGGGAGACCCACACCACTGCATCAAACTGAAAAACGCCTCAGATCAAACCCTGGTCACCGCTGCGAGGCCAGTGGCTTCCTCCAGAGGAACTAGGCAAAGTGCTGCCCCGCTGGGGGGAGCTAGGAGCCGGGGGACACACAGCAGTTAGGGTGTTCACACCGCCTCAGGAGACCCTTGAACAGACACCTTTCTCATCAGACCCTCCCCAAACAGCCATCCCCGGGGTGTGATGCTAAAGTAGCCCAGACATGTGGGGGTTCTAGAACCCTGGGGTGTAATGCCTTGTGTTGATGAAGCAGCAGAAACAAAGCTTAAAAAGGAGAGGGGGACAGGATAGCCCCATATATAAGAACACACCCCAATATGTATAAATATGTACGGGTGGATGGTTGGTCTATTTATGCACAGAACCTTCTGGAAGAAAAAGTTACAGATGGTTACACATGGAAAGACAGAAGGGGGAACCTTTCATATCCCATCTCACTAGATGAACTGCTAGAATTTTTACCATGCAAAGTTATTTTTCTAGTTAAAAAAGTTTCAAAAGAGGAGTGTGGCGTGGCAGGGCAGTAAGGAGAAGGATGGGGGACGTGACAGTCCCCCCACCACACCCAGGCTGCAGCACTGCAAGTAAGGAGCAATTGTGACTGTCTTTGTTCAAGAGAGCACCCTGCAACCCAAAGGGAAACAGGGTGATGCGGTTTAGGCGGGTTTTGCTCAGTTTGCCTGAGTCCTCAGAAATCCCAGAGAGGTGGGTTTCCACCCACCCCTCCAGAACCCACTCTTGACCAGACTTCGGCGCTGCAGACCCCAAGGCTGATCTCTGAGGAACCCCCCATTGCCTGGGGCCCTAAGCTGTCACAAAATAATTTCTCTCAGCAATTGCCAGCTAGTTACCATCCTCATCGCCCACAGCCACCTGCCGTTAGCAAATGCCACAGGAGATCTGCCCTGCAGACAGGAGACCCAGCACTCCACACTTCCTAGCCCTCCGGGCCTCCGCTTGCTCACCCGTAAAATGGGACGAATCGCCAGCAGATGGCCCAGAAAACCCCTGGCTGCTGTGCAGACTGACAACTTAAGAGAAACTCTTGCCCTGTCCCTGGCCAGAAGAAAATCACCCACAAGAGACTGTCTCCAGCTCCGTGTTCTCGCTAAGGGCTGCCCATGACAGGTCTGGCCGTGTCTCTGTCTGTTTGGCTCTAAAACAACTGATCTCAGATCAGACCAGAAGGATGGAAGTTGATAAATACTGTTTGTTTTTAATGCGCTTGCTTGACAAAACTAAAAAGCTCATGGCAATGGATCCCAAAACTCTTTTATCTTCCTGCAAAATCCACAGGCCACATGTGACCTTATGTCAGGGGTGGCTCATGTCTGAGTCCATACCAGGGTTAGTCCAGACGCGTTGCTTGGGCAAGGCCTTTCCCATGAGACGGGCCCCTTCAGTGTGCCCTGGATGTCCTCCACCCTGGGATACCCCCTTCTCTGTGCCCATCTCCTTTCTCATTCTTGATGTGATTTTTCCAACAACTAGGTCTCATCCAATTTACAGGGTTGGGTTTGGGTTTGTTGGTTGGTGAATTTGGGTTGTTTCGGCTTATGATAAGCTATTTCCTCTTGCTGGTCAGCTACAAATTCTCCCTGTAGGAGAGGAAGTGATTTACACAGAAGGGCTGATGGGAAGGAGGAGACAGTTACAGTAAGGGGAGGGAAGGGCCAGGCTGTAGGGCTCCCTTCCCCACGACCAAGGCCAGAGCCAGACAGGCTACGACCCCCACCTCGGGGGCTCTCTCTATCTCCAGGCACCAAATCTTACTGTCTCTGGTTTCAGGCTCCACGCTGAGTGTGGAACAAAGTCAGATACAGGACAACTGAATGAGGAGAGATTATGAGGGTATGGAATTGTCCCTGAATTCCCAATGGTGAAATCTGAGGAACAGGAGGAGGAGGGAGCCATGGCCCAGGTGTGTGGAGGAGTCACAGCTCGGACCTGTACCCTTTCAAAACTGGGGCAGTCACCCACAAACCTGGCCAGGATACCTTAGATGCCTTTCTTTCATCTCACTCCGAGTTCTCAAGAGTCTGTCTGTCCTTGAGGATTTCGATTTCCCAGGGAAATGTAGATATAGTTTTCCCTCTATCAGCCCCAAGTGCTACCAAACTCAGGGAAAGGAGCATTGAGGACAAGAGCAGAGAATGAGGGCCAGAAAGAAAAGACGCCAGGACGGTGAGGAGAGAGCGAGAAGTACGGAAGAGAACTGGGACCACCCCTCAGGCCTCCGTTTCCCCCACTGTGTAACGAAGCAAAGGCCACCTCCACCTCTCTTTCATTCCTTCTTTCCTTTGGTGCACAGACAGGGTACTTTCCATGATGCCACTGAATCTCCCTTCAAGCCCCATCTTCAGATGAAGAAACAAGCTCAGAGACTGGAGCGATGTGCCAAAGGTCATGCAGCAGAGGAGCTGAGCCAGGAAGAACCGTCCATCCAGCTCAATCAAGGAAGCCTGCGCTCCACTCCTGGTGTCCATTATTGAGCACAACATGGCCTCGAGGGCACGTTGGGCGCAGAAGTCCCTCCCCATGCAGGACCTCACATTGGGTCTCTTCCCTTTGCTGGCATCCAGACAAAGACTAGGCATTCCCTCTTAGTTCTGCAAAGCAGGGACAGTCAGCCACTGGTGGAGTGGGGCCACCAGACTCCAGCGTAGAGGAACTGAGTGTCCCCACAGACTCCAGGCCCACCTGTGGCCCCCTCTCTCTGGAAGCCTTCCCAGATTAGCTCCAAATAACTCCTGGACCTGCACCAAATTCCCTCCCCACAGCCTCCCATCTATCTGATGCCCTCCCAAGTGCCACAACATACCAGAAGGGGGTCTCCTCCAGGTCTGTGTCTCCCCACCACCTACACAAATGAATGTTCACCAGCAGTAGGACGAGACCAGGAGGGCTGTGTAGTTTAGACACTGGTGCAGACTCAGGTTGGGGTGAGAAGACATAGGGCTCCCTAAGATCCCTCAACTCAGTCTGGGGTGGCGGGAGTTCTGACCTCGCTGGGGATAGGAGTTACTGTATCAGCCACTGTCATAGACCTGATGCCACTGGAGGCAATACGACCTGGTGGCAGGGGCTGTGGTCACCGCCGGCTGAAGACAGACTGGTCCCCTGGCCCTGAGGCATTCTGCACTAGCTCTCACCCATGGAGAGAGGCCGCCGGACAACAGACAATCCCCCTCCCGGCTGGTCCCGCGCGAGGCCGGCCCAACCCTTACCCGGTCTCGTGGATGGCGTTGGTGAGGTTGGCCCAGGCCACGGCGTCAGGGTGACGGCCATCCACCAGGCGCAACTGGCCGGTCTCGGTGTCCAGGAGCACCGAGCGGCAGCGGGAGGTGGGAGGCACCGGCCCGTCGGGCCCCCTGTGGCCCTCGGGGGTCGGGACCGCGCCCGTCAGGCCGCTCAGGAATAGCGTGACCAGTAGGGCCAGTACCAGGGCCAGCGCCAGCGCCCGCGTCAGCGCCCGAGCCAGGCGACCGCCGGGAGAGCCGCACATCGGGGCCACCATGACCGCGCCGAGCCGGGCGCCGCAGCCCGGCTCACGTGACCTCACTACGGCACGGTGGGCGTGGCCCTGGGCAGACCGGGAATTGGTGGGCTCCTGGGGAGGCGGAGCCTGGGCCGAGGCTTTCCGGGATGGGCGGGGTCCACGGCACGCCAGGGGCGTGGCGCGTTTTAAAGGGCCCACGCGAAGCCCCTAAGGGCTGCTTCTCCCGGATTTCTCCGTTTTTAAAATCGCTAACCTCTAGAAAAGTTGCAGAAACAGTAGAGTAAATGTCTACCTGCCTGCTAATATCAATCACTTGCTAATAGATAACTTCCATTAATCGATTACTAATTTTTTTTTAGATTTAACGACTATATAAATTTTTTTTTGCTTAACCATTTGAGAATTAATTGAATCATGGCGACATCGCCGTTCTAAGTACTGCACGTGTATCTCAAGAGAAAAAACTAAATTATCCTACGTAGCCACGATGCCTTGAAACACTCGGGAAATTTACCATTTACTTTGTACTATTAATACTACTATCCAGTATAGGGTCTATAGTCCAATTTTTTTTCAATTGTCCCCAAAATGCTTTTTTCTTTTTTTTTTTTATGCAGGGGCCTCTCCTCATATGATACACAAAATGAACTCCAAAATGACGAGGATCAAAAAGTAAAAAATGAAATTCCACGTAAAAGAAATATGAATTCCTCCATAATTTGAGTAAGGGCTTTCCGACAATGTCTCAACACCCAGACATATTTTTGACCACACCACTGGTGGATGCTAAAATCACTATAACCAAAGTGGAAAGCCCAGAGAATGTATTTATGACTCATATCATAAAGGACATCATCAATGAATAAAAACTCAAAATGGGAGGGGGAAAGCCTGAAAGTTGGACAGAAAATGGACTGAAAATCTAACAGAGAATAACAACCCAGGGTGATCAGGGAGGCTGCGTCTGAGTAGTGACCACAATGAAGTGAGAGAATGAGTCACATGAAGATTTGAGAGGACTTCCCAGAAGAGAAATAGCAAGTACAAAGAAAGTTAGGGTGTGCTTGGTGTTCTAGGAACAAAGAAGAGACTAGTGAGTCTAGAGTACCTCAGTTTGGGTGGGGGTGGGTGAAGGGGGAAGAGTGTCCGTGGGTGCCACTGTAAGGACTTTGGAGTTTACTCAAACTAAGGCAGAGGCATGGAAATAGTTTCTCATAAAAACTTTATTGAAGAGGAAATGCAGACAGCCAACAAGCTTATGAAAAAATGTTCAACATCACTTGTAATAAGGGAGATGCAAATTAAGATACCACCTCACCCCAGTGAGAATGGCACATCTTCAAACAACTAGCAACAACAAATGTTGGCGAGGTTGAGGAGAAAAAGGAACTCTTGCACTGCTGGTGGGAATGCAAACTAGTATAACCACTGTGGAAAGCTGTTTGGAGGTTTCTCAAACTGCTAAAAATGGAGATTTCATATGACCCAGTGATCCCACTCCTAGATATCTCCCAAAAGACATAAAAACACTGATTCCAAAAGACACCTGCACCCCCATGTTTACTGCTGCTTATTTACAATAGTAAAGACATGAAATCAACCCGAATGCCCAAAAGTAGTAACTGGATTAAAAAGATATGGTACATACACACAATGGAATATTACTCAGCAATAAAAAAGACAAACACTACTTTTTGCAGCAAAATGGATGGAGCTGGAAGGGATCATGCTTAGTGCAATAAGACAGAAAGAAAAGGAGAAATACGGGGTGGTTTCACTCATAGCAGGAGTATAAAGGACCAGGGGAGAAAATAATCATAATAATAATAATAACAATAATAATGATGATGATGATGAACAACTATATACCAGAGACAGTTTATGGGGGTGGAGTGGGGAATGGGATAAAAATGGGGGGGGTGCACTGGACTATGGTAATGGCACAAGGGTGATTTGGTGATGGGAAGCCCACAGGGATTACAACTGAGATGGAAAAAGGCACAAAATGATATAAAAATAAACTATTATATTAAAAAAAATTATTGAAATACCAGGGTGTGATGGGAAACGATCACTAATGGGGACAAGATTTCTTAAATTGAGGATAAATTAAAATATTCTAAAATTAGATTGGTGGTGATCTTCGCATTACTGAAGCCACTGAAATGCATCCTTCAAAATGGGTGGACTGTGCTGTCTCACTGCGTCCCCTGAGGGAGAGGGCAGGTGGAGGGTGGCCCAAGGCCTTCTGGAAACTTGCCAGGCACCATCATGCACTCCGAGGATGGCAGTTACTGGCGCTGAGGGTGCAGCTCCCACACCAGGTGCTTTTCTCAGGGACTTGGCAGTGAACAGGGGACATCAGCCTCACGGCCCACCTGCGGCTCATCACCACTTCCAGCAGAGGGAGACAGAACAGGCCAGTGATGGCCAAAAAGTAATCAGGACAGTTTCAAGTAGAAATGTGTGGGGAAGATCAGGTCAGGAAGCTTGAAGGACACATTCTTAGGGGGCATCTTACGGGAAAACATTCCTGGAAAAGGGAACAGTCCTGATACAGGAGAGCCTGACTGTTGGAAGGAGCTAGAGGAGGTCAATGAAGGTGAGCTGAAGGTATGGCCGGAGATAATGGGATGGTCCTTGCCTGGCCCCAAAATTACTTTGTAAAACCTCACGGGTGCTCTTTTCCCCCACTGGCCATACTCTGGTAGCTGGCTCAGAGAAGCCACTCCAGCTCCAAGGAATCACTCATTTGGCATTAATACTGATCATCTCCTGGCCCTCCCTGGTGGCGCAGTGGGTTAAAGCACAGCACAGAGAGGCTTAAGCCACTTCCACATGAATTCGATCCCGCCTGCCCCGGAGGTGACCACATGGCGCAGCAGACCTCTCCAGACCCGCCCGCTGCTCCCCTCAGCAGTGTACTTCGTTGATCTGCCTGTTCTGCTCCCCACTCTGTCTCTGGTGAATCCTCTCACCCTCCGCATCTCTGGCCTGTACCCCAGTTCTGTACGAATAGGTGAATAAATGAATAAATCTTTAAAAAAATATATTGATCATCTCCAACATTTGTTAATCACTTAACCTGTGAGCACTTTCTATTACAGAACTCAAGTGATCCCCATTATCTATCCACATTTTCAAGTGGGGAAACTGAGGCTGAGTGGACAGGCTAACTTGCCCAGGTGACATGCAGCAGGCTGTGGGCGCTGCCCTCAGAGGCCACCAGGGGGCTCATCACACGGCTCCCCACATCCACATTTGCCCTTTGCCTCCCTTGGGAAGAAGATACAGAACACTGCCTGAGAGAGATGAGGGCTGTGCCCCATTCCCACCCCCATTCCCTGGGGCTGCCAGGCCAAATCGATGTCATCATTCTGTGCCTCAGTGTACTCACCTCTAGACCTGACCTTGGAGGGCTGCCAGGAAGATTAAATTAGAGCCTTGCCTGGTACCTCAAACTTAGTACACTTAGTAAAGTACCCGCTCAGCACCAACACTTCTGAGCACACTGTGATGGTCAGGCCAGCTGTCCAGTGCCCCTGACCAATCAGAAGCAAGGACAATTACCATCCTCATTAGCTAGACTGCAGGGCAATTGCTAAACGCACAGAGCTGGGAACATAGACAGCCTCAGCTTCAAATGCCAGCTCCACCATTTGCTGAAACTGTGACCTTGGGAAAGTGACTTCACCCTGAGCCCCAGTTAGAGGGGTAATAACCACTGGCACCTCATGCACACATGGAGGATGGTGTGCAGGGGCAGGGAGCCTCTCCCTGTTCCTGATGCCACCTCCTTGGAGCCCTCAGCTTGCCCAGGAGCCTCAGCTAAAGGGACCGATCTCATGTCCTGGCCTGTTCCATCTACCCTGGTCTCCCTCAAGGAGCTCCCCCCATCAGAAATTGTATTTGAGGTCCCCACCATCCAAGGAAGCTAGCCAGGGAGAGAGCTCCCAGGTCAGCTCAGGTAAGCCCCTGTCAGCACTAGGGGGTCCCATATGGGAGCAGAGTTACAGGGTGGGTGCATGACATTTATCCGCCCTTTGTGTCCTGTTACCCCCACCCGTGTTCCCTGGTGTGACTAGGTAGGACCAGTCCCCCCAGATAAAGGTATCTCATGCCCCTTGGATCTGCATTTCCTGACTTAATCTTCACACCAAGCTAAGAGAATCACAAAATCCCTAACCAGGTAGGTTTTAAAGATGGGGAACCTGGGGAGAGATGACTTCCCCAGGGTCAAACTCAAGTTTGGTTGGAGCTGGTTCCAAGACCTAGTTCTTTTTCAAAGATGTATTTATTTATGCATACAGAACTGGGGTACAGGCCAGAAGTGCAGGGACAGTGAGAGGATTCACCAGAGACAGCGTGGGGAGCAGAACAGACTGATCGAGGAAGCTGAGGGGAGCAACAGACGGGTCAGGAGAGGTCTGCTGCACTATGTGGATCACCTGGGGGTGGGGGGATCGAACTTGCAGAAATGGCCACAGCTTGGCTTAGCTTCACGGTGCAGCGCTCAACCCGCTACGCCATCAGGGAGGGCCCCTAATTCTTACCCACAGTAACCAGAGAGCCCCAAATGGGAAGCACTCTAGTGTGCTGACCCTCACTGAATTTGCTCGAACAATTTGGCAATGGCGACAGTGGCAAAGACCCCATAGGAACGTAGCGGAAGAAGGTGAGCAAAAGAAAGTGCGAGGCGGTGGGTTTCAGGAGACTCACCGTGTGGCATTGCTGGTGGCAGCATGACTCGCTCAGGCCCAGTAAGGGAGGAATCTGCCAGAGTCTGTGGACATGGGAAACACACAGGCCATGCGTGTACCTTCTGCTTTGGGGCTCTGTCCCACAGAATGAAGTCACCTTTGCTGGGGGACGGGCCATGGTGACTACACCCCAGGGGTAACCCTAGGTTGTTGAAAACACTAACGAGATCAGTAAAATCCATTTTTGAATTTTTTTAACGAAAAAGTAAACTTCCTAATCAAATAGAAAAACAGAAAGAGAGCACCTGTGTCAGGCTGTCCGCTGGTTACTGGCTGCTGTGGGGTGAGGAGCACCCCATCTCCCTGGGCGGGGGATTAGTAGGTCGTGCCACCGCTTGCCCAGGACTGGTATGAGCAAGAGGGAATTGGCGCTGGCTGCAATAGGCCTCAGGGCCCTGAAGGAAACTTCCCAGTCTCTGGTTGGTGCCTCTGTCGCTAAGACTGAAAGATCTGATTCTCCACCTTTCCTCTTTTAAGTTCCCCTCACATTACCACTTCTGCTCACGCTTTGCCCAGGTACTCACATGCTCCCCAGAGCTGCCCCATGACCTGAACAGGGGCACTGAGTACTGGGGGACGGGGAAGTTCCAGCCTGACCTTCCAGGAAGAAGAGGTGGGCCTTCAGGGCAGAAGGGATTCTCCGGTTGCAAATCACATCCCTGCGCTTCCCAGTAATTACCTGAGGACTGGTCATTTCATCTCCCTCAGTTTCCCTCCTCTGTGAAATAAAGCCCTTATCCCACAGGTTTACTAAATGAGATAAGCCTTCCTTCCACTCAAGTCTTGGACAAGTAGCGTTTTTTTCTTTTTATTGTTTTTTTAAATTTTTTTTTAATTTTTTTTAATTATTATTTTAAGATTCATCTATTTGTGCATAGTAGAATTGGGGTACAGACCAGAGGAGGGAGATGAGAGGAGCAGAACAGTAGATTGACTGAAATACACTGCTGAGGGGAGCGGTGGGGAGACAGGAGAGGTCTGCTGTGCCCTGTGGGTCAGCTCCTTGGCTGGGGATCAAAGTCAGGACATAGGGGTGACAAGGTGAGAGACTTAACCCGTAAGCCAGCAGGGAGACCCGGGTTTGAGATGCTGAGGACAGGACCCTGTGTGATGCCATAATCACCTGTAGACCCAATGGGGCTAAGGGGGTCCTTTCTCCTCCTACCCCCAACATATAGCTCCCTCTTGTGCTCATCAAACAACCTCAATATGCAAGTTGGGCATATTTAGTGGAGGAAAACCTGGTGGCAGATTATATCCCCCAAACATAGTCATGACCAAGTCTTTTCTCCACTGAAAATCTGTTTCTGCTCCTTCATCTGGGTGGACTTGTGACTATGTTGGAAGTCATATCACATGACACACTATCACTTCCACAGCTAAGACGCAAAAGGAAATCAGACTTCTGCCTGGCTCTGGAGAACCCCTGCACTGGTAACCTCTCTTGAATCCTAACTCTGCCAGGGGCGCTCTCTGACTGCTCAATGCTGACTTGCTCTGAAGAAGCCCAGAGACCATGTGGAGGATCACATGGAGTGGGCCTGAGACTCCACGAAGGAAGAGATATTTCCAGGAAAGCCCCTGGTCATCCCAGCTCAGCCACCAACAACTGCCACCACCAAGCAACCTGCTTTAGAACCACGCAGCTGAGCCCTTCCCGAATCCATTTTTTGTTTTTCTCTCAGAGCATTTGTTACAATGTTCTCTGCCAAAATTTCATTTCAGTTTAAAATGTAAGTCCATCTTCACATTTCTCTGCTGAGGCTCCTAATTAGAATTCTCCACCCACAGACACCCTGACAGATCAAAAGATGTGTTCAGTTAGGTCTCTAAGTTTGGGGATGGTTGTTTTGCAGCAACTAGACAACTAATACGAGTATTAACTCTATCTCTCCAAGGAAAGGATTCAACATTTTCACCTCCTATGAAATTATTTTTAATTGATAACACTAGTTTATTTCCCTTCCAAAAGGTCAGTTGCAACCACACGAACCTGACCTCGAGATTCTGTTGTCTTCATAATAACAAAAAACTTAAGGGCTGGGGCGAAGGGACCTCAGACCAGGTCAGAGGTGGGTCTGTCTTAAGGTGACTAGGAAGCAGGAGGTCTAGGAGCAGGGAAGCAGGAAGCAGCGAGGGAGGAGATGGACCCTCTGCTGGTCGCTCCTCCACCCCAGGGGAGGACTGGCAGGAAGACTGGAACTTCCCAGGGGGGCTGGGAAGCTGCGAAGAGGGGACCTTATAGGTCAGGACGAAAAGATCCCTTACTCCCCCATCTTTAGTTATTTACCATTTTCTTCATTTAGAAGTGATGCTACTAGAAGGAAATACTTGCTCCTACTAGGAGGCATTTCAGGAAGGACAACTGGAATAGCCTGGTGAGCCTGAGCCTTCCCCACCTGGTGTCTGCTCAAAGACCCTCCATCAGCAGGTGGATGGCCATCACTTCTCCCCTCCCTGGAAATAACCCTCCCCCCCCCATCACCACTAGTTTCACCCTCTCCATCCTCCTGCTGCCTTTCCCCAACCTGTTTCATCTCTGCTTTGCTTTAGCAAAGAAAACCGAACCTACGAGCTGGGGGATGAGAGGAGAATGTCTAGTGAGGCAGACCCCAGGGACTTCCCCAGGAGCCTATGCCTTTAAGGAAAGGGGCGGGGCGTGCTCTGGGGGCGTGCTCTGGGGGCGTGCTCTGGGGGCGGGGCCTGTAGGGGGCGGGGCCAACCCGGGTGTACCCCGGCCAAACCCTGGCCAAGTCCCGGACGCTGGCACTAGCTGAGCGCCTAGGCCCGCGGCGTCCGGGGCTAAAGGCCGGCGGCGTGGGCACAGTGGCGAGGCGAGGCCCCTCCGGGTCGAGATTCGGAATTTGCGGGCCGGAGGCCCCGCCCGAGGTAAGGGGAGTCTTTCCGCCCTCTAGGGCGTCCCGGGCGAACCCGGCACCCCGAGTTCAACTTCTCAATCAACATCGGGATTGGGAAACCAAGGACATTGGCGTCCCGGGTCGCACACCTAGAAAGTGCTGCCGCAAATGTGATTTCAGCCCCACAGTTCCTGTCCCTGCCCCTTGCTATCAGGTTTGCAGATCTCGCAGTTGCCGGGCCGGGGGAGGAGAGCGGGAAGGGGGGGGCGTTGGTGGGGGGGCGCTCAGCGCTGGATCCCTTGTGCGCTTGGGACTTGCGTGTGTTGCGTGTGTCGTGACTGATAGAGAGGAGACTGGCGTCGATCCTCGAGTTGGTGATACCGGGGACGCGAGCATTTATTGAGCACTTTTTGTTTGCTCTCACGGATCAGCCTCCTCCGGTTTACATGAAGCCGCAGCGGCTCAGCGAGCAGAAGCGACCTCCCCAGGGCGCGCGGCTCTAGTGGTGACTGAGTCTGACTTGGAAACCAGCAGAAGAGGGAAAAACCTGTCAACAGGTGAGTCTAGAGCGCTGGGACAGGGCCTCTGCTCCTCCTTCCTGCTTCGCTTCCTCCCCGACAGCCTTCCCCCCTCCCCCGAGGATATTGAGAAATGACCATGCAAAGAATGACCAAAAAAATAACGTTGTTTCTGGACTTTTTAATGGCAAAAATTAAGCGTGCTTCTCTGGACATCATAATATGTGGAAGAGCTGAAAGAAGAAAACTACTTGGTCAAGGACTTTTTCTTTCCAGTTTTTCTTTGGGAGAAAAATGAAGCCAGTTTAGCCTGGTGTAGAGGGGAAAGGCAGGCCCTCCACAGCCACATGTGGGTTGCAACTCTGCTGTGAAGTGGAGCTTTGAGCAACTCTTCCCGCTGAGCTTCCATTGCCCCCTCAGGGGAGCTGCTGGCTTTGTGGTCTCCATGACCCAGGGCCCTGGGCAAGTTCAGAACTCAGCTCCTCTGTAAAAGCCGGGGTGGCAATAATCTGAGGACCATAAGGAGATGAGAAACAGCGCAGTGGCCAGGAGAGAGGAAACAGACCTGACTGGGTGCTCCAGGTGGCCCCCTGTAAAGTGGGGCTCGTCATAGTACCGCCTCCTTGCTGCAGGAGGTCATCTGGGTTAAGTGCTTGGGCCCTTGTAAGGACAGAACAACAGCATTGTTGAGTAGTTTCCAGCTGGTGGCCCACAAGGATGTATTCTTTGCTTTGAGGGCTAATTCAGTTCCCACTAGTGCCCGTATTTGTCTCACCCAGCTGACCCCTGGAGACAAGAATCTCTGGATCAGGGCCTCGCTGGTGGTGCAAGGGATTAAGTCTCAACACTGCTAATATATCGCCAGCCACTGCAACATGAGTTCCATCCCCGGCCAGGGAGGTGACCCACATGGTACAGAAGTCCTCTCCTGACCCGCCCACTACTCCCCTCACCAGTGTGTTTCAGTCAGTCTGCCTGTTCTGCTCCCCACTCTGTCTCTGGTGAATCCTCTCAGCCCTCCACACCGCTGTCCTACACCCCAGTCTTGTATGCAGTAAAAAAAAAAAAAAGGAAGAATCTCTGGATCAGTCTACCTCTTAGTCTCCATAGTCTGGTCTGACTGAGATTGGGTGGGAGGGTCCTACGTTTCCATGGCGACACGAGCGTCTCAGAAAAAGGGCCTGGCTGATCTGCAGACCCAACTAGTAGGCTCATGGCGGGTCCCTGCACCAAGCCCCCTTCGGAATGTGGGTTTGTGTGTTCCCGTTCCTCTAGTGGGGGAAGAAGGAGTTTTCATTCCTCTCTGCAGGGCCATGGCACTGTCCTTCCTTCCCTCCATCCTGCAGGTCCCTCAGCTGCCAGCCTGCCAGACATCTGGAACGAAGCAGAGCATCAGCGGACGCCGAGCCTGAGGCTGGGCTGTGGAGGGCTCATGGCTGGCAGAGGGCTGAATCTGCACCCAGGGCTGAGTCTGCTGTGTGTGCTGCTCATGGCGGAGACAGGGTCTGGGGCCAGGGGCCCCGCCGCAGCGGTCCACAGTCATCCACAGTTTGCAGCCTCAGATGTGAGCCAGATCCCGATGGCAGAGGTGAGCGTCCAGGCAGGAAACTGACATCAGGTGGGCGTGTATTTAGCCAATCAGCCAATATTTATGGAGCATCTACTGCCCGCCAGGCTCTGAGCTGGACTCTAGGCACAATAGAGACAAAAATCCCTGCCTCTTGGAGCCATCAGTCTCCTGGCAGGCCAGAGACATTTAACATGTAAAGTTCAGGTGGTGGGATGCCCAGCCTCCTGCAAACCTTAGGATCAGGGGGCGACAGCGTGAGAGGGGAGGTGTAAACTGTTCAGCTTAGGTGGTGACAGTACTCCCTTCCATAAGGGAGTAAACTTCGACTTAGCCCTGAGTAGATCAAGAAAGCCGCTTGTACAGACATCTGGGGGAAGAGATTTCCAGGCCTGTCGCAGGCAGGAAGATGTTTAGTGTCTGTCTCCAGCAGTGAGGAGACTGGAACAGGGCGCGTGAGATTGAGGTTAAGTGACGAGGACAGAGAGCCGTGGCCAGAGTCTGAAAAAGGCCTTATAGGTTGAGGCTTGGAGGTGAGGTTTGCTTTATGACAGTGGGACGACTGGCTTTAGCAGAGATATGTCGCAACCTCATTTATTTCTTCTGGCTTCTCTGGGGAGAATGGACTGAGTGGGGTGAGGGTGGGAGCAGGGAGATCAGTGGGGCGCTCCTGCAGCTGTCCGGGTTAGTGAAGGTGGTTGTGAGAGATAGGAAAGAAGTGGTGGGGTTTGGGATAGTTGTTGGGGGCCCAAGCAATGGAATCTACTGAGGGATTCAATGAAGGGGCCTGGTGGGCGAAAGGGAGGAGTCTAGGGCGCCTCCAGATCTCTGGCCTCATGAGCCGGGGGGCTGCTGGTGCTGCGGACTTGGCCACTATGCAGAGGGAGAAGCCATGCTGCAGCGGAGGGGACAGGCCAGACAGCTGCCTCCCCAGGCAGGGAGGCTGCGGGCCTTCGAGAAGGCTGCCGGGACCTTACAATGGTGCCAGAGTATGAAAAAGGCCTTGTAGGTCAAGGCTCAGAGGTGAGGTTTGTTTTATGATAGAGGGACTCCCTCTCGGTGGGTCAGGAGTAGAAGACAGGAGGCAAAGGGCTGCCCAGGAAGCCTCTCTAGATGTGGCCTGGAGTGGTGGCCTTGGATTTCCCTCTGGGGGTGAATGGACTGAAGGGGAGAGCCCGGGGTGTTCAGCGGCCACACCTATTTTCAGGGGCTCCACGGAGACTAGGTTACTGCATCCACACATCCAGTTTACAGAGTAGAAAGTGGTGTGTGGGTTCTGTGGCTATAAAACGGACTCTGCCTTGGGGGCAGGACAAGTGGAGTTGTCTTGACTCATGCCAGGTAATCTGAGTGACTGAGTGCTCGAGCTGCCACTGTGCCAAACTCACGGGCCCTGGCCCGGCCGGAGGGTTCCTGAGGTGGGTGTGATTGAGGTTTCCGCAGGGACGGCGGCTGGGCGGGCGGTGACCCGAGCTGGTGTGAGCTTAGGTAATGCCCTGTGCATGCCCTTCCGTTAGTGCAGCACCTCCTAGACAGGCTCAGGAAGCTTCTGGAATTCCCCGCGGACTCTGGCCTGCAGCTTGGGAAAGCCCACCTACTCCCTGCCTAGAACCTTTTGTAGTTACTCAGTCGACAGCTCAGTCGCTCCGAGTTGTGCTTTTAGGACCAGCTAGTAACCCCACGCCACGTTCTCGGGGGCGTCCACAGGGCACGGCCGCATTTCCTTCCTTTTTCAAGCTGAATTATGGTTCCCGGTGAGGATGTGCCTGTATCCCTGCATCCGTCCTGCTTGGGCTCCTGCTGGCCTCCAGGCCTCCTGGCTCCCGTCAAATGAACCTTGGTGGGCAGGATCTCTTTGCTGTCCTGCTTTCATTTCTTCCTGGTAGAGCCCAGAAGCAGATTTATTGGGTCATACAATCATTCAGGCCAAAAAAAAAAAAAAAAAAAAAAACCTCCAGGGGTGACCTCATACTCTTTTCTGAACCGTCTACACTATTTTGTATCCCCGCAACAGGACATGAGGACGCGCCGATTTCTCCACGCCTTTGCCAGCGGGAGACAGGGCACAAGAGAGGGGTCCGGCAGCCCAGAGGTAATGTCCTCGTTTCGGCTTTTGGTTTGTTTGATGTATGTTTAAAGTGGCCATCCTAATAGGTATGAGGTGGTATTGACAAAGCTCTTGCACAAAAAGTTGGGGGAGGCCCTGCCCCGGCAGACACAGGACCAGGCAGAGGGCTGATACCCATCGATCAGGGCCAGCGTGGCTCCCTGTTGCTCAGCAATGGCAAACACTCCAGGGGGAATAGCTGGCAGTTCAAAGTAGAGATCCAAATGGCCTCAACATGTAGAAAGAGCACTTAGCTTCACAGGGAACCAGGTACTTGTCATTTAACAAGGAGGTTCCGTCCTGTGGCCTGAGCAGGCTCCTGGCAGGAAATCATGCAGGCTGGTCCCGGCCGCTCCCCACTGCTGCGAGTGTGAGCAGAGCACTGGGAGCCGTATCTGGGGGAAATCCATCCCCGTTTAGCCCCTTTCCCATCTCAGGAGACTCAGTCAGGGCCCTGTCTATGCCCTTTGGCTCAACCATTGTGATGGCTCTATTGCTGTCTTTTTCTAGAACTATCCATAAGCTTGGTAGGAAGTGCTGGGGAATTAGTCTGGTCCCACTGAAAGCTGGCATATATATGCCCCAGCCCCGAAGCCCAAGGTGTGTCTCAGCAAAGCCTTCACTGGCAGCTTGCCCCTCCTGAGTGCACTGTGTCCTTGTCTCTGCTTCAGGAGGAACTAGGGCTAAGATTTGCTCTGACTCAGTACTTTCACTTCTAGAATTCTCTCTGACAAAATATTCTCATGTGTGATCACACAGTCACATGCAAGGGTATTCACTCTTGGTAATACTGAAAAATTGGACCCGCCCCAATGCCCACCAGTAGGGAAGCTGCCACCATCATATGTGAAATACTAGATGGCCGTTAAAAAGACCACAGTGAGATGGGGCGGTTATGGTCCACTGGGGATCTCAGACTGCCTGGCTTCCGCCCCGCTCGACCTAGAACTTTTTCCATGGTCCTTGTCTTCTCATCATATGTATGAGGACCTTCTTGTCAGAGAGTTGTACAGAAGATACATTTCCATCTCCTAGCACAATGCCTGCTCTATGGAAAGCACTCACACTACCTGGATTTTTTATCATCCTCTTCACTGTTACGTGTTTCAATACATGAACAGACGACTTGTATGTGAGATGGTAAAAGCAAATCATAGAAATGAGATTAAGAGTGGACCCATTTCTGCAAAACAAAGCAAACCGTATCGTAAGACTTATAGTCATGCATCGCGTAATGATGCTTCGGGTAAGGATGGACGGCTTCCTATATATAGCCTAGAAGTGTAGTACGCTATACTAGCTAGGCTGCGAAATCACGCTAGGGACATCTGCATGGTGACAAAATCACCTAATGATGCAGTTCTCAGAATATGTCCCTGTCTTTAAGCGATGCATGGCTAATAGATACAGACATCACTGAATTGAGAAATGTCTGTAAGGATATACTTCGAAGTGGTCGCGGTCGAACCTCCAGAGAACCAAAGTGAGATGATAGGGGGTAGAGATTAGAAGAGGGAAATTAGGAGTCTAAATATGTTTGGTTTTGGATTCATTTTTACTCTCAGCAAGCATATTTTGAATTTGTTGTATTAATTTCAAGCATGAGTTTGTTTTTAAAAATTAAAATGTGCAGTTGGCACCTAGAGGGTGTGAACTAAGCGACCAGGCAGAAGGAGGTGACCGCCAGGTCTCAGCTGGGCCTGGCCGGGGCCCCCGACCCCCTGCCTTCCTGCAGTGTGTTGCTGTGTGTGGCCTGAACGCCTCCGAGCGCTGTCACTTTGTGCGGACCACTCCCGACTGCCACAGCCAAGGGGGCTACCTGGACTACCTCGAAGGCATCTTCTGTCACTTCCCGCCCAGCCTCTTCCTTCTGGCCATCGCCCTCTACGTGAGGCTCCAGCCCAGGGAGCGGGTGGGGCGGGCTGGCCCGGGGTGGGGGGGAGTCACCCTCCCTCCGTCTCCGTCGCCCACCCAGGTCTTCTGGCTGCTTTACCTGTTCCTGATTCTGGGCGTCACTGCGGCGAAGTTGTGAGTTTGGCCTTGGAGAAAGGGAGGCTCAGAGTGTTGAATCTGGGTGACCCTGAGCTTGTGGGGAAACGGGGGGGGGGGCAGGGTTGCCACAGTGGAAGTACTCACCGCTCACCTCTTCTCTATAGCTTCTGCCCAAACTTGTCAGCCATCTCCACCACGCTCAAGCTCTCCCACAACGTAGCAGTATCCTTTGTCCCTG